ATATTGAGAAAAGTGCAATTGTTTTTAGAGAAAACTTGGTACAAGTGATCGTTAGAAAGAGTTAGTGATTTGCGTCCTGTTTGTAGATGGTATTGAAATTAATGTAAACATATTAGTAAATAGATTAATATTTTTTAGTTAGATTGATGGCCAGACTGAGAGTAATAAGTTATTATTTAATATGTTTGTACCAAGAAAGAATTAGTTCTCTGGATGATTTATAAGTTCAAAGATATATATTGTTCCATAATAGTAGATATTAATTATCAGATATAAGAAGTTGTTCAATATAAAGTATTTGTTTTTGAGATTTTGAATAGTTAATAGTTTAGGATTTGAAGGAATAAAATTGTAGATTATATTTAGTATGAGGTTATTTAAATTGTTTATATTATTAATTAGATTACTAATATTAATGTTGTAGTTTGAAATATGAGTTAGAAAGAAGAGGCCAGTAAAATTTGTCATTTTTGTTTATACTATATGATTATTTCTCTTTTTTTTGATCTTTTTTTAATTTCATGCTGTTTATTGCAAAAGTTTAATGAATTCTTGAATTGTTATAATATTGTTTTCAGAACTGTTTTGTTGTATTGTCTTTGTCAATTTTTTCTTTATTTTTGAAGTTTCTTGCTTTAACTTAAGTTTAATTTTGCAATAATTAACTCTATTTTAGCAGTTTTTTTTTTTAAAACTATTATCTATCTTATTTCATTAGCAATATCTAAATCAGCTATAATATTATTTATCTCTTTATGTATAATATATCTATCTAGATCTTCTTTTTTTGTAATACTATGAAATAATTATAGTTATTTCTTTTTCTAAGTACAAGTTCTGTATAATTAAGTTTTCTGAATTATATTTTCACAATTCTTTATAAAGTTCTTCTATTGTGCTTTAGCTTCTTCTTCTGTAATAAGTTTTTTTAATATATTCTTCTAATATTAGATCTATTAAAATATCTCATTTTTATCAAGTGCCTCTACTTGTGTCCTAAATTTTTCTGATACCATAATTATTCTTCCAAAACATTCTGTTAAAGGTTGCTTTATATGATTTGTTGTTTTTCATTATTATTGATTGTTGTTATTGTTTATTGAGATTGTTTATCACCTTTGTTTATATTTGTCACATGATTTTTAGTATGTTTTCTTTGTTTATTCTTTATTTTGTGTTGTAATTCTTGTATCACCAAAACAGATCTGCATTATAATGTCAAGGCTGATTCCCCAAAAATTTGCAAAGCACAAAAAATAACTAATGATTTTTCAACTTTCCTTCTATATCTTTGTCATTTCTGCTCTTCTTACTCAAGTTTCTTAATAGACTGAGTATTTTTTACATTTTTCTTTTTTTTTTTAAAGCTCTGAGTCTGGTTTCTTAATGGTCTTTGTGTATTATTTGTAATTTCTTATTAATTTTTGTTTATATAAATTTGTGTACAGAGGATCAGTGGAAAGTGTTGTTAATTTTTATTATAATTTGTAATTAAATTCATTTTTTAAATAATATATAAATATATATAGAAATAAAAATTTGATAATTATGCAAATGAATTTGATTTTCTTTAATTACCTTTTTATTCTTGTCCCTTTACTAGTTTTCTTTTACTAATTTTAATATCTTTTTTCAGGTTTTCCACCTTTTAACAATTTGCCAGTTTTGCATTTTGCCATTTTGCTATTTTAATTTTTTTTGACAAAATCAATTGAATGTCGGGATTTTGTGGTAAAACCGTTGTATCAATATTAAAAGATATACAAATCGATCATTGTTTTGGGAGCAGTTTTTTTTCCTCTCCTCTAGATTTAAATTTTTGCTATGCAGAAAATTGCTATTTAGTCTAGTAACCTACACAGGATCCTTATTCCTATTAGATCAACACGGTTTATTTAAAAAAATTTTTATACATATAATCGTATATTAAGCTCAATGTCTAAACTCTTCACAATAAACCAAAGTAACCATTTCTCTCTAAAAGCCCTTTGATCAGAAAAGATAATGCAAAATTGGCATAACCGGAGTCGCGCAACGCACGGCTTAATTGTACTCTACATAGTGTCACCGTAAAATTAAGTGTAATTGACTTGTACCTCGCATAGTGTTGCCGCCAAGATTAAGTGTAATTGCTGCTTAAAATTCGGACCAATTAAAGAATAGACTCACAAGTTACGAGATGTTAGAAAAAAAGAATAATTACTGTAGATTTTTTGTTTTTTTTTTGTTTTATCTTCATGAAAATTAATTATCATTCATTGCCAATGCGATACATCAGCCACTCACTAATTATAGCTGTTTTCGCAAATTCTGAAAACTTAATTGATAAGTTAATGTATTGATTCTGAATCCGGATAAGGTGACAGTTAAAGTACTCCTGATTTAAAATTTCGCTGGGAATATTTTTGTCAAGACAAAAGGTACAATTTTTAAAATTTATGATCGCTTTGATTTTTATGTTGTATCAGATCCTGCACCCTGATTGGCCAATCTGGAGGTAGCAATGCATGTTTGCAATCTTTAATATCTGTTACCGTTTATTGATTATGTGTAAAGTTCAATACTTTGAATTCTTTATGATTTTTGGAAGATTATTATACTTTTCAGGAAAATCAAGTGTATAAAACAATAACATTAATTTGTTTTGTAAAACTCTAAAAAAACAACCAATTAAAAAATCTATGAAAGGTAAAAACTCATTTGATAAATGGAAAGAAATTGTTTACTTTTTCTAATTCAGTCTTTCATTTTGACTTTTTTTTTAAATCTTGTCTGGTTTTAAATTTTGCAAAGCTTTCATCAAGGCCCTCTTTTTTATTTCTGAGTTTAAGTTCATCTTTTATCGGAAGGATTTGGATTTGATTAGAGTTTCGTCTTTTGTCTTTCGTCGAATTTAAATTTCGTCTTTTGTCACTACACAATAAAGGTTTCACCTAAAAATTGTAGTCAGAAACAATATTTGTGATTATGTGATTATGATGGGAATCTAAATACGGAAATATGCATTACAGAATAACGAATTTAATAAAGGGCGGACAAATAGAAATATAGGTATTGATGATTGCATGAAAGTAATTCAACTTAGGGCATATAGTAAAGTGATTGAATAAACTAGATGATATTAAAAATAGAATAGTTTGTGAAAAATTGATGGTATAATAATTTAATTATGTAAATGTCATCTGGCTATTATAACCGTTATATCATTAAGCGAAAAATGGAAAAAAGATAAAGTTTCGTTATTGATTGATTTAAATGATCACTAATTATCGTTATGATTTCTTAACTGAGTCAACCAGGTCACTCGGATTATTATTATTCGAAATGGTTAAGTTTATAATCCGATAATGATTATTTAAACGGGTGAATAAAACTTTATAAGGGCCCAAACATTATTTTATCAAATGGAAGATTTATATAAGCATTTCTCCGTATGAAAGATATATATTAAGTTTATCTCGCGTGAGGTATATTAAAAATACATAGACAATATAACCTATTTATTTTATTTATATATATTAAATGACAATAAATTGTTTACAAACTCGAATGAAAAACAATCAAGACTAATAAACATATGGTTCTTATAAACTATAAAACATTGATACATGACCTAACACAATAAAATGAGCAAGTATTAACTACATTTATATAACAAAGTATATATATATTATGGTATTAATAAGAGAAATCATGCAGCAGGCGTATTGTTCTTTTTTCTAATGTTATCAACAAGTAAATTAACTAGTTCATCCAACTTAAAACTAGGATCTTGTATGGCCTCATCGCCTAATGTAAAAAGTTTTTGAATAGATTCATCATCGGTGTCAGCTAAATTTATGTCTTCCTTTAATATGGGTTGAATTCTATAGTATTTTGCATCATCCAAGTCAGCCAAAATTTTCATAGAATCATCATGATTTCCGAGTTCATTATTCATCAAAAGGTTAATTAAGGGAGAGACCCATTGAATAACACCGGAATCTTTATGATCCTCTAAAGATATTGGGTAGTTACCGGTACCAAGGGAAACAACCACAAATTTCGAATTTGGATACGTTCTCCTTGCTTCAAGATATGCTCTAGCGGTTGGATTATTCATAAAAACACCACCATCTACAAAATATTTAGAAGATATTTCTTTGGCAGGAAAATAAGTAGGAGCAGAAGTACTTGCGCGTACAACATCTTTCATGAAAACATCATCATTCTTAGTGATAAGATTTGTAAAAAAAGTGCGTTCACAGGTGGAGATATTAAAAGCAGTAATGAATACACCAACATTGTTTGCAGTATCCTTGAGCTTATTTTCTTGAAAATGTTCATCTAATAACTCTTCAAAGCGCGTTGGATCATATCTTGGATTCAAAAGATCAAAAGATTTTACATAGTCATCTAAATATTGTAATTGTTCCGTTAAAGATTGATCATTTTCGGCCTTACTTTTAGTTACATCAACATTGGAAGTATCAATAGAAAGACTTTTGGAAGCATCAACGGTATTGTCATCATTTGAATCAGATTTTTCCTTTGTGGGACTTACAAAACTGACAATCTTTTCAATAAAACTTTTTCTTTGAACTTTTTTTGCAGTGTCATTATTTGCAGTCTCGGTAGTTGCAGTCACATTAGTCTCACTAGTTGCAGTCACATTAGTCTCAGTAGTTGCAGTCACATTAGTCTCATTAGTTGCAGGGTCATTAGTCTCATTAGTTGCAGGGTCATTATTTGTAAGTTTAGTCTCAATTTTCAGAGTTTCTTTTCTAACAAGATCAACAACGCTGGTGACTTCTTCAGCGACACTGGAAGCCATACTGGATAGACGAAATTTGTTTAATACTTCAGAAGCCATATGTAATATTTCGCTAACAATAGTGAAAGGAGTAAAACTGGGAAAGACTTCATCTTTATGTTTTTTGAAAAAATCCACCATGAAAGGACCATCGAATTGTGGACGATTATTATTATTAGGATCTGGTTTTGCAAATGCCAAAGCAAGTATAGAACCGGTTGAAGTTCCAGCAATGACATCAAATATTTCGGCACATTTTAAGTCAGTATTATTAGGATTGTCTTTTTTTAATTCATCATTAACTCTTTTCTCGATTTCAGCGACAAATTTGGCAGGAATTAAACCTCGAATTCCACCTCCATCAATTGATAGAAGAAATTTTGTATCACTCATAATCTTTCGAAGTTAAAATATTATTAGAAATTATATAAATAAATTTTGATTAAGATAATTTTATACGTATAAATAAATTTGATTAAGATAATTTTATATTTACCAAGAATCGTTAACTGTTTTATCGACTTAAAAACGTTGGTTACGATGAATAACGATGAATAAAGTTGGTAAAAGAAGTTCTTATATTAAATTTGGATATGCCAGTTATACTTGGTTATTTTATTATTAATTTTATTATAAAGTTGATACTTGATTACTTGAGAATTGATAAAATTAATAATGTGCATAAATCGATTTTTTTTTCAGATGTGGAGAGCTTTTATGAGAATAATCTGTTAGTACTCGTGTCTAAGGGTTGCACACAAGACCTTTTGCATATCGATTATCGTTATAAATATTATTAAGAGTTGGACAAAAAAAAGTACAACAATGCCAATTCTAAAGATCATCAAAATAATTTTAACGTAAGCAGATCACCTAACTTTAATTCCACCATAAATCAGAGGCTTATCATAAATCAGAAGTTTTATCATAGAGACATTCGCATGCGTGCATACGTATATGTACGTATCTGTATAGTTATGCCAGCCACATATTAACATGCACGCCATACACAATCATATATCTAAATATGTATAAATAAATAACTTTAATTTTTAATAATACATATTATCATTACTTATACGTAACTCATACGTATGAGAATATGTTTGATGTACGGTACGTATAGTATAAACAAAACAGACTTGAAAAACAGACTTTGATCGAGTCAGATAAATTCTGATATAAAGATAAAAAAAGTTAACAATTTCGTAAGCTTCGTATTATCTAAATTGTGTAAATCAATATGGTACGGTTCATAGTACGAATTTAAAACATTGCAGATTATGTATAGTTAGTGAAACATGTAACGTATGGTGGAAATCAAAAATTAAAAAAATTGCACATGTGAGCGTCTTCACAGCACAATTCAAACTATTAATTACTTATGGCCAGGCAATGTTTATTGACTCCTTTTTT